GTCAAACTCTGCACATACATCATTCTGCACAGTGAAGATCAAACATCCAGCTGTAGGAACAAGAAGAAAACTGATTTTGAGTGTAGGGGAACTTTAATTAAAAATACAACATATTTAATTAAAAATAGTTCTAGTTTAATTAGGTTGCTTAAGAATTGTGTTCATACATACACAGACATGTTTAATCCTAGACTTTATAAATATTATGGCTGCTTATCAGAGTGTATGTGGTCCGCTGCGTGGCTCCTGACAGCACCCCTACTGGTCTGCATTAAACCTGTAACCTGCTCCTGTTCCCAGAGCCGCAGCAGAGTCCAGACCTCGGGATAACGGGCTGCCGTGAATCTGCACCATCTGTCTGTCTCTGAAACCTGACAACTGAAACCAGCAGCAGGGATCCTGCGATGTACCAGAAGTGACAGGTAAGCTCCAGATTCATTTAGTTGATCTAACTTTCTCTCATGAGTAACCTATTGAAAGATAATAGCCCACTCATTATCGTTTTTATTCATTTAGCCGCGACGTTGAAAGAATCAACACCGAACTCCGTTTAAAAATGATGGTTTTATTGTTGCTCAACATTCCGGAAAACACGTTTTAGAATAAAACATTTAAAAAAGCTAAAGTTAGGGTCCTTTCTTTAATTCGGCTCACATATACCAATCAGTAGTCAGAGCAGTAAAATGTTTTCCCTGAAAAACAAATCGTGCTTGATGCAAGCAGTAGAAACTAACAGTCTGGTACAGCCGGCATTAAATAATAGTTTTTACATTCACTGAGATGCTGCTTTCCTCCAAAATAAATCAAAGTGTGCTGTAAACCCTGCAGGTCCTCTGACAACACTTATATCCGAAACCTTCAAGTAGGCGACCCCATAAACGAGCCGGTCAACTTTGGATACAGGCTGCAACAATATCTCCTCCCTTGCCCTGTTTCACTTCAGTAACCAAACCCTTACTGATTCTACTCCAGTTAAGGATAAGCTGGTCTGTGCTTAATGTTCTGGTACTACAGTAAGTTTGTTTTGGTCTTCTGTAATCAAGTAATCAAGTAAACTGTGCTTAAAATCTCCACCTGATGTGCTGTTAGGGCCAGCAAGGTGTGTTATAGTGGAGGATTGTGGGAATAATACAAAAACTAATTCTTATAAAATACATATATAAAAACATAAAATGTTTGCTGCTTTTGTATATTGAACTGAAGAAGCTGGTTCTTCATTATTCATAAAAATAAGACAAACACCTAATTTTATGGTATAGTTTATGCTGATAAAAACATTTTAGTTGGGTTGCTTAATAATAACCTTTTTTATGTGCCCCCACACAGCTGACAGCTGAATTCTCTCCCTTTTTTCATTCCTCATCAACTGTATGTGTCCTGACCCACTATCGGAGCCGAAACCACCTTGTCACACTTGTTTCTCTGCCATGGCGTGCGTCTCTCAGTCTCTGTACAGATTTAATTAGACAAACAAAAATAGTTTATTCAAGATGTAGCAGCATTTAAATCTTTAAACTGAAATTCTTCTCTGCCATCTTTCTGCTTCCATCCATTGACAGTATATATATGCTTCCATCACACCTATATGACACATGTACTGCACAATACCTCCAAACATTACTAAATATTTCTGTCAGAAAAACCTGTTGGTTTGACATGTTTTAGCACATTAATTAAAAATCACATATCCTGTACTGACAAACATTTTCCCATTTTTAGTTTTATTTTTTAAATGTATGACCTTCCTAACATCCTTGTGACCATGGCTTTCATTTCTTCTCTGGTATGAACATCAATTTGAGACTTGCTTCAGTTCAATAATCAAGCATGTTTCTTTTTTATCAGTTATGCTATTGTGCACCTGAGTACCCTTACTTCTTACTGTGTTCCTCCTGGTTAGTCTAGGTACAGACCCCTAAACCCCCCTGATTTTTGTCTCCATGCCTATTCCACAAAAACCCACGCCCTACTCTGTCTCTGATTGGCTAGTGTTTTTTGGCTTGTGAGATGGTTAAGGTCAGAGCCAATCAAAGGCAGAGTAGGGGTGAGTCTTCGCGGAATATGGGTGGGATAAAAATATACGTGCAAACACAGCTCTAGCTTAACGTTCTTAACCGCACATGTAAATGAGCTATATAGCTAACTCTGGCTCAACAGTTGTTTTGTGCATGGCCCCTGTTCAATAAACAAATGCTCAGAAAACAGCGCTCAGAATGTCCTTTTTGAAATGGATAAAAAAACACCCAAAATAATGAGGGTTAGGGTTATGTTGTGGTCAGGGGTACAGTTGAATTAGGTTACTGGTCCAATTCAGCCACTGGTTCAAACCACACACAGAAGGTTGAAGATGAAAAACACTTTCAGAAAGGTAAAACTAATCTCTGAAAAGTAGTTGTCAGGTTGTTATAAACAGACAAGGACCAATCTGGGAATAAATATCAGATTAATTTATGGTCAAAGACATTATTGTACCGTAGAGTCATTTTTAAATTTTATTTTCCAGCTACATCAGCTTAAAATCCTCCTCAGAGCTGAATGGAAACAGGGGCCACAGAGACACGCAAGGACTTACTGCTGCTAATATATAACCCCCCTAAATGGATGTGGCATTAAATCATTAAACTGGATGCCTGAATGTGTTACCCACAGACCTCCACAGTTTCACATGAGGTCAGGCTGAAGTGGAAAAGGAGAGAAAGATGGATGAGGAGAGAAAGAGCAGGTTTAGTGCTGAGGGGCTGATGGGCAGGCGGCTGGGTGTTAAGGTTTTCTAAACTCACACTGCGCAGAATTCAGACTCAGAGACTGCGCTTGTGAGTGTGTTTAACCTTTATTTATCCAGGGAAAGTTGTTAGAACTTTTTTCCCGGAAAGCAGTAGAAAACCACAGTCTTCCAGGGTCGGGGTATGAGCTTTAGCACCTCGCGTACAGGTCCCTGATAGCGGGCTAGCTGCCGGGGGAAAGGAGAGCACTCATTAACCGCTCAGCCGCTCGCAAGTGAGTGGCAGTTTTGGTGTGGAGTTTTGAGATGCTAACCCTAACCCTGGGTCAAGAAATAGCTCAAAGGCTAAAACCACAATCTCTCATTTTTACATTTCTATTTCTACACAAGTAAATAAACAAAATATGAAGTGCAAATAAGACATGTTTGGAGGTGTCAGATGGCAGCTTTTTTCACTCTGGTCCGTGCTAGGCTAGCATCTTCCCCCTGCTCCTAGCTCAAGTGAAGCT